ACGTTACCAACATCACTGAACCTTACTTCACGTTACCAACATCACTGAACCTTACTTCACGTTACCAACATCACTTAACGTTACTTCACGTTACCAACATCACTTAACGTTACTTCACGTTACCAACATCACTTAACGTTACTTCACGTTACCAACATCACTGAACGTTACTTCACGTTACCAACATCACTTAACGTTACTTCACGTTACCAACATTACTGAACCTTACTTCACGTTACCAACATCACTTAACGTTACTTCACGTTACCAACATCACTCAACCTTACTTCACGTTACCAACATCACTTAACGTTACTTCACGTTACCCACATCAATGAACCTTACTTCACGTTACCAACATCACTTTACGTTACTTCACGTTACCAACATCACTTAACGTTACTTCACGTTACCAACATCACTTAACGTTACTTCACGTTACCAACATCACTTAACGTTACTTCACGTTACCAACATCACTTAACGTTACTTCACGTTACCAACATCACTTAACGTTACTTCACGTTACCAACATCACTTAACGTTACTTCACGTTACCAACATCACTTAACGTTACTTCACGTTACCAACATCACTTAACGTTACTTCACGTTACCAACATCACTTAACGTTACTTCACGTTACCAACATCACTTAACGTTACTTCACGTTACCAACATCACTTAACGTTACTTCACGTTACCAACATCACTCAACGTTACTTCACGTTACCAACATCACTCAACGTCACTTCACGTTACCAACATCACTTAACGTTACTTCACGTTACCAACATCACTGAACCTTACTTCACGTTACCAACATCACTGAACCTTACTTCACGTTACCAACATCACTCAACGTTACGTCACGTTACCAACATCACTGAACCTTACTTCACGTTACCCACATCACTGAACCTTACTTCACGTTACCAACATCACTCAACGTTACTTCACATCACCAACATCACTCAACGTTACTTCACGTTACCAACATCACTTAACGTTACTTCACGTTACCAACAACACTTAACGTTACTTCACGTTAACCACATCACTGAACCTTACTTCACGTTACCAACATCACTGAACCTTACTTCACGTTTCCAACATCACTCAATGTTACTTCACGTTACTAACATTGCTCAACACACAACGTAACTTCACGTTTCCAACATCACGTTACGTTACCTCACGTTACCCTCACTTCTCAACGTTACTTCACGTTACCCATATAACTAAACGTTACTTCACGTTACCTACATCACTTAACGTTACCCACATCGCTTAACTTTACCCACATCACTGAACCTTACGTCACGTTACCCACATCACTGAACCTTACTTCACCTTACCAACATCAATCAACGTTACTTCACGTTACCAACATCACTCAACGTTACTTCACGTTACCAACATCACTCAACGTTACTTCACGTTACTAACATCACTCAACGTTACTTCACGTTACTAACATTGCTCAACACACAACGTAACTTCACGTTACCGACATCACGTTACGTTACCTCACGTTACCCTCACTACTCAACGTTATTTCACGTTACCCAAATAACTCAACGTTACTTCACGTTACCTACATCACTTAACGTTACCCACATCACTTAACGTTATTTCATGGTACACACATAACTTAATGTTACCCACATTCACCTACCTTTATCACGTTATGTAATTCACGTTAACATCAATCAACGTTACTTCACGTTACCTTTATCACGTTAGTAATTCACGTTAACATCAATCAACGTTACTTCACGTTACTTTTATCACGTTACGTTTCTTCACGCTTTGTTACTTCATGTTACCCATCAACGTTATTTCACGCTACCCACATCACTGAAATGTTATCCACATTCACGTAATGTTAGCACACGTTAAGGTAATCACTAAGCGTTAGTTCACATTGCCTTTTTCATTCAACGTTACTTTGAATCTCGAAACTGTAATTGCTTGAAATGTTGAATATGTATTTTTTAATATTTAGATTTTAAAATGATTTGGTAAATATGATTCTTATCTGCAGCAATAAGTACATGAACAATCTTTGTAATTAAACATCAAACTTTTATCAACATATCCAATTGGTCCAATAATCACATGTGTCAAGTGTATCTATCTGATAACAGAATTCAATCACGTTCATACATTTAAAGTGGATACCTTATATATAGAGCTAGACATAATTACCCTGTATATACATGAACAACCTTTATGATTTAACACCGATAACTTATCAGCTGCTTCCAATGAGATCGTATCAAAGAAATAAAAATCTTTAAAGGCCGAACTAGCCATTTTAAATTTTGTAATTAAATCTTCTGTACTAGTCCTGGGTGAATATCTTGAACATATAATACATTGCTAGCACCCTATTAGATCCACACTGGTAAATAAATGTTTAATTTTCCCTCAAATAGCGCATCGATTTATTCAAGTAAACACTAGAAAAACACAATAACAGGCTGTAACAGATTTCAGTTTAAATCCAGAGGTTTAATTGTAGTATAAACGTAAGAGATAGGTGTGGAGGGGACTTTGACTGTGGCTATACAGCTACGTCCTAACGGGCCGGGGTCTGAACTGAAGACATTAACGTACGTCGTACAGTACATCAAAGGCTAATTAATTCAATTTTCAATTACAACGGCCATGAATGGTTAAGGTTCCTGCTTCCCTGTTTGAAATTAGATAATTTTCTCTTTGACTACCAAATCGGTATAGCATAATTTGCATTCTCTAGTAGTAATGTATAAAACGCTGGGCAAAATAAAGTTTCTTTATAGTGGAGCCTCTCTAGTCTGGACAGTTTACAATGACACCTCGTTATTACATTACAGAGGAGCCTCCCTAGTCTGGACAGTTTACAGTTACACCTCGTCATTACACTACAGAGGAGCCTCTCTAGTCTGGACAGTTTACAATGACACCTCGTTATTACATTACAGTGGAGCCTCTCTAGTCTGGACAGTTTACAATGAAACCTCGTTATTACATTACAGTGGAGCCTCTCTAGTCTGGACAGTTTACAGTTACACCTCGTTATTACATTACAGAGTAGCCTCCCTAGTCTGGACAGTTTACAGTTACACCTCGTTATTACATTACAGATGAGCCTCCCTAGTCTGGACAGTTTACAGTTACACCTCGTCATTACACGACAGAGGAGCCTCTCTAGTCTGGACAGTTTACAGTTACACCTCGTTATTACATTACAGTGGAGCCTCCCTAGTCTGAACAGTTTACAATGACACCTCGTTATTACATTACAGTGGAGCCTCTCTAGTCTGGACAGTTTACAATGAAACCTCGTTATTACATTACAGAGGAGCCTCCCTAGTCTGGACAGTTTACAATGACCCCTCGTTATTACATTACAGTGGAGCCTCTCTAGTCTGGACAGTTTACAATGAAACCTCGTTATTACATTACAGAGGAGCCTCTCTAGTCTGGACAGTTTACAATGACAACTCGTTATTTCGGACACATTACAGTGGAACCTCATTAGTAATAATATTTTAGTCTGAGCAATTCACAAAAGAATGTCGCTATTCCGGACACTTTACAATTGAAACTCGTGTATTTCATAGCAGAACCTCGTCGGACGCATTAGAGAGGAATCTCATTAGTCCGGACAGATTTATATGGCACTTCGTCAGTCCGAACACTTTACAGTGGAGGCTCGGCTAATTTGGGATGTACCTTAAAGATTACACCCATATTGATACGTCTCCTGAATAACAGACACGTTAGAATCTGGGAGTACGCTATCGCGTCATGAGAGGGTATTTCAGGATCGAAATTCGGAAGTCGTCAATAATTAAAAAAAAGTTAGATTACTAGAGTATAGCTATCTTTTGTAGTCATAAAGGATCCTGTATGCTGAGCTACATACATCACGCATTCATGATATTATATATATGTCAAAATCATGGGCGGGTCCACATTTAATGTTATGGTAAGGAAGAGTGGTGGTAATTAGGACTGTGAACATTTGCTTTATGAATAATGATATGGATGGCACACTGACAAAAGGATTTAATTATTTTCGTCATTATTTTTTCCTTTTATGCCTCACTTCTCCTTTACAGTATCGTGCACGTCATTGGTTTTCTGACGTTACCATCACAAATACCTGTATCAATGGTTTACAAGATACAAGAAGTTTTATTTACTATCGTATATGGCATAACATTGAATTTATTGTCGTATATGGCATAACATTGAATTTACTGTCGTATATGGCATAACATTGAATCATTTACGATGTTACCATAGCAATCTGTCATGTACTCTTGCTTCAATTAAGATCGTTTAAAATCAAGCGACAGTGTACGTTATATATGATAACTTGACATTGGCCATCCCCGAGTGTCCGACTGTAAAAGACAGACCGGGAACGAACAGGTTACTCCGGTGATATTACGTTAGTTGGAACATTTAAAAGGAAAGCCATTAGCATGTGTCCATGTTTCCTCGCGCGACAGAACCGATAATCTAGACAATTCCACAGCCTTTAGTTTAGTATAAATGACCGCTTCGTCAGTTTATTGTATACAGTTCCTGAATTACACTTCAAACACAGCGAATGAAAACTTTAAACTTAACGTTAAGAAGCTAAAAGGGTTTTAAATTGACAACATTGTATCTTGAGTGCATTTATAACAGACATTCTGTCTTATATAGATATTAACAGGTCGGTAAGATCTTACGAAAACAGTCCATATACGAAGAGTGCCATATATAAATATAAATCGCAATGGTATGTCAGTAGGACGTATAGGTTAAACCTCGTGTAACTCAAACAAACCTGGTGTCAAACACAATGTTACCATGACAATACTGTACCATTTCAAACAGATACAGAAAATAATCGGTAAGTATTAAAAATGACAGTTATCAAACATAAAACAGTACGTTAGAAAGGTTTAGATATAGAACCTCGGACTTAGATAGATAATTCTGTGATAGAAGTAGTACCTTGACGTCCATGGTTGTTCCGCAGTGAGGCTCCAATCAATGATCCTCTAAGCACGCTGGTTTCATTTCAAGTCTAATCTATAAGTTGAATTTCATGTTCGGATGAGAGAGTAAATCCTGTCTATATGAGTGTCAGTACGGGTACCCAGCGTGGTACCGAACATCTCCGGGCCACCTAGTGGTATATACAGTGTCGTATAGGATTCCTGCTCACCAGCTGTACATCCGATCACAAGACAATCAGGGTATGTGTCTCAAATAACAATCCGTGTCAGTCTACTTTCTTTTTAAACCGCAGTAATCTGATTCGGTATGAATACCCGACAAACAACCCAGGCCTACCCCACGACTACTCAGCAGGAGTGACGGACGGTTACCAAGCACCTCCCCAATACTCACTATCGATCCGCCCGCTGCCATAACGAATAAGGCCACTTACAAAATCATACATTGGCCATCGTCGGGAGCTGTATTTATTTTTCTCGTTATGTCGATTGAATCGATTGACATGATTAAAGAGTTGGTCAATTAAATCAATTAGTATCTGCCTCCATCTCAAGGTAATGTAATCAAGTCAGTTAATATCATACGTAATTAATGTGCTAGTCGTCAAGTGTGAGCTAATGGTGCGGGACCAAAATACATGTTTTATGCGAAGTGTAGGCAGACACGGAGTGAGCAGTCGGTCTGAGCCATCAGTCAACACAGCCCATCAATAGTATATACACACGGAACTATAGCCTGCTACAGCTATTCCATCAAATAAACGGCAAAATGATCGCTGGCCGTATTGGTTGAACCGGAAATAAACGAAGTAGAAGGTGTTACAAACCGGAAGTCACAAAATAAAGAACACTATATAGAAAGTATCGATACCAACAGAACACGCACGACAGTGGGAATAAAATAAACAAATACGGACAGTCTGAACATTAGAATATTGACAATCATTGAGATAAAATCCATTTCAGGGCTTCCATGATCAAATCACGAAGACATTTCGCTAAAAGTGTTGCTGTATACTATTCTGTTACACGATCTTAACTAACCCAATATAGTTGTAAATGTGTTCGTTTCTCTTGCTTCTTTAGAATTTGTGTGACTTCGAATCAGACAAATGAATTATTGAGTATCTCAAAAGATTATGATATCAGCACAGTATCATTATGATATGTGATTCTTAACCTAAACATTCGGATCGACTTGCGTCATTATGTTGTGTTAATCAATTTGATACGTTACTCAGAAACACGTGTGACAAAGGAAGACGATTTGCACTCGTGTTGGTCACAAATCTATTGCACCGAATCGCATAGCCAATGAAAAGCGAGTATATCCACTTCAAGCCATCACTCCCATCCCCATCCCCTCTCACTCCACCCAAACCATTGAACAATTCCTCGGTACACACTGTTTTATCGACACAAACATCAAACAATGAACAAATATGTTGAATTATGATATAATACACTTTCTTGAATGTTTAAGAGCAGACGTGGTATGCAAGCCCCATTAAACTGGTGTCAAACTTCACATTTAAGTAAATGTTAACGGTCCCGACAGTTTCTATTGGCAGACAACGACCTAAGACTTAACTAAGACATAAAGCCCAGACACAAAATATCAACAACGGCGTGCAGCCAGTTTGAGGGTGCACATACCGGCACAGACAACTTGAGGGTGCATTATTGATGGCTATAGACAGTGTGACATACCGGCACAGACAACTTGAGGGTGCATTATTGATGGCTTCAGATTGTGTGACATACCGGCACAGACAACTTGAGGGTGCATTATTGATGGCTATAGACTGTGTGACATACCGGCACAGACAACTTGAGGGTGCATTATTGATGGCTATAGACTGTGTGACATACCGGCACAGACAACTTGAGGGTGCATTATTGATGGCTTTAGACTGTGTGACATACCGGCACAGACAACTTGAGGGTGCATTATTGATGGCTTTAGACTGTGTGACATACCGGCACAGACAACTTGAGGGTGCATTATTGATGGCTTTAGACTGTGTGACATACCGGCACAGACAACTTGAGGGTGCATTATTGATGGCTTTAGACTGTGTGACATACCGGCACAGACAACTTGATAGTGTGTTCTGTCATACTATAGCAGAATAGCCGACTTTCTCCTTATAAAGGGCAGCAAATCAATGGCAATGACAGAATCGGTATATTTATGTCACTCCATAGATACATAATAAAACACAGGTATTGTTTTGTAGTTAGTGGGAAGCTCCGTGTTACAGTGTTACTGGCAGTCATGCAGGTCACTAGGACTAACACTTTGGAGTAGAAACGTGCAGCACAGAAGGCTCCATCTTAAAACACGTTGGAAAGTCTTCTATAAGAAGGACATTACTAACATAGGAAGTACAATACCTATGTCCTTGACAATAGTTCTTTAAGTTTTAGCTATATACTACATTCATTGCACTTCATACCACCCACAAGAAGTAAAAATACATTATAACTGCTGTCTAAGAGGAAGATTTGTTTTCATTTGGAAATGTCTTTTCTCAAAGCAAAATGTCTGTTTGTTCAAGGTGGCGTCATGAATCGGAACCGCTATCCATTTAAAAGTACTATGGGTAGGTAAAATAGTCCAACATAAACAAATGATTATAAACTTTACGCGTAAAAGTGCAAATGGAGCAGACAATGACAATCATTTTTAAAACCTGCTTCCCCAAAGATTCACAGATGATGGTATTCCTCCGCGCCAAACTTGTATTTGTTTACATTGTATCCTGGTGATCACTAAAAGTCGGGGAAATATATGGTATTTAGTCGAGGTTTTACGATTGGGGAAATATATGGTATTTAGTCGAGGTTTTACGATTGGGGAAATATATAAGGAAGAAGTTTATATGTGATAAACAGTTTATCATACAGTGCTTTTAGGGTTTGTCTCTCGATCAATTTTCTCATCTCTTGCTCGTGGATAAAATTTTGTGTCCACATGCTGTGTGCTTCTGATTTTATCATTATACTCGCGATGAGAAAAGTTGTTCTCACGACGATAATGATGTTCTTTCATTGATAGAATGAGACAAAATAGTGTTTTTAAGAGGTTCTACGATCATATTTGAATATTTTTTCTAGAAGAATAAGATTTTACATTTGTACTTTCAGTGGCTTCAAATGATTGGCAACTGCTCCTTCCGTCAAAATTGATTTTACTATGACAGGATAGAAAGATCTGTCCGTTATATTGTATATAACATTTGATAGTTACCCTTCCATTCGTAGGGTAAGTGCTCTTTCAATCAAATGGAAATAATCTATCTGTAATTAAACACTAACATACAATAGAGACTGCCGTCTGCGGGATCCGAACTTACGACCTCACAGTAGTTAGGCCGGCGAACTGCCAACTGTGTTTAATAACTTAACAAATACTCTGTAAAATTCATAATCTCAATAGTTTACAAACCAAGAGCTCACATTTTGGTCTAAAACTGACAAGTACGTACATTTATAATGTTTTTTTCGGGATTCTGGGATGATTTACAAACACTGGATAGCTGTGTCCTGTTTGATTTACAATACTTGAGTAGGTGTGGTACTGATTCCACTATCAGTGACACGTGTGTGATATAGGGGAAACTGAGTTGTACCTAACTACTGATGGTTATGTTTCTAGTCTGTCTTTGATAACTTACATATATATATATACTAAATCATATTATAAAAACAGGTTATTTCGTGTAAATGACAACGATATTGTTCCGTGTTTGTAAATGAAAGAATACAAAACATCTTCTCGTTAACGTGTAAACCCAGCAAGGTTGGTCATTTGTTGAAATATAAACCTATTGGGTCACACGAAATGTTAGAAGTTCTGGTAGAAATCTTTGATCAATCTTTAAGTACATGACTGATACTGAAACTTTACATAATGTCCAGGACACAAAACCTAGAACCGACACTACCACTTAAGGGAACCAGAAGCCAGAACCAAGAATGTTAAATAGTTGTGTACTTAAACATTACTCGAGGTGTTTCTTTACTCGTTAGCTAACAGATGATGTTTGAGACATTTTTTAAATCCCTTAACAAGGTATTGTCAACACATGGTAATATCCATCGTGACACTTGACAGATTGAAGTACTGTTTGGACACGTGTACAAAGCTAATAGAAAAAAAGTAAACCACAGCGTCAAATTGTAAGAACAACAACAACAATGATGTCTCCCGTCACCACATGTGACACCCGTCATGATGTTTTTCGTCACCAGATGTGGCTACTATCATGACGTATTCTGTCACTACATGTGGTACCCTTCATGTCGTCTGCCGTCACCACATGTGATACCCGTTATAATGTTTCCCTCTTCAACAAGCGATACCCGTCATGACGTCTTCCGTCACCACATGTGACACCCGTCATGATGTCTACTGTCACCACGTGTGACACCCATCAGGATATCTTCCGTCACCAAATGTTGAACCCGTCATGATGACTCTCGTCATCACATCCGTCATTTTGTCTCCCTTCACCACATATGACATGCGTCATGATGTCTCCTGTCACCAACACGTGGTTACCTTCATGACGTCTCCCGTCACCACATGTGGTACCCGTCAAATTGTCTCCCGTCACCACATGTGACACGCGTCATGATGTCTCCCGTCACCACATGTGACACGCGTCATGATGTCTCCCGTCATCACAAGTGAAACGCGTCATGATGTCTCCCGTCACCACATGTGACACGCGTCATGATGTCTCCCGTCACCACATGTGACACGCGTCATGATGTCTCCCGTCACCACATATGACACGCGTCATGACGTATTCTGTCACTACATGTGGTACCATTCATGGCGTCTGCCGTCACCACATGTGATACCCGTTATAATGTTTCCCTCTTCAACAAGCGATACCCGTCATGACGTCTTCCGTCACCACATGTAGCACCTGTCATTATGTATTTCGTAAACGCCAGGAAAGTATGTAGGTCATCAAGCCATCCCGAGCAGCCCTTAATTATGGTAGCCATATTCAAATATTGAAAATCAGTCCATAATGACGATTGAAAGCTTCTTTATTTCTAAGTCTATCAGGTAGAAAATAAACATATGTCTAAGTAATCAACTGGAAACCTTTTACTTTGAACTTAGTATTGAATTGTCTTTGAAAACTCTACGATGTCACGAAGCACTCCCAA